CTTGAGCCCAGGAGTTTGAGGTTGCTGTGAGCTAGGCTGACGCCACGGCACTCACTCTAGCCAGGGCAAAAGAGTGAGACTCTGTCTCAAAAAAAATAAAAAAATAAAATATATTTGAATTATATTGACCCAGAAATAAATTCGTTAACCTTTTATTTTAACTTGAATTTTATTTTAGAGGTACGATATGCCCAGATTGTTTCAAGCCAGCCAAAAACAAACAGGTAAGGATTCCCACTTACTCTTTGGTGAGTTAAGTCTGAGCAGAATATTCAAATTAACAATGAAAAGCATATGCATTAGAAATGTGGTAACTCTATTATACTAAGAATTAGTCTTTAAATAGTTCCATTTGCTACATTTATTTTTGTTTCGTTCAATTTTTTTCAACCTTTACTTCTGGCCAGGGAGTCGGACGGAGCACACAAACATCCTCATGTTGTGTCAGTGTCTGGGTTGTTCCCCTGATGTTGTTAAACTTAGAACCAGTGTTTCAATGATGTTACTATTACCCATTTGGGGAAATGCAGCTTTTAGATTTTAATTCCCCAAATTACAACATCTGGGAAAATCCATGGTAAGTATCAGTAGTGTTCCAAACTTTCATCTAATATGCATTTTCCAGAAATTGGTGTTTATATAATCAAAGTAAATTATTTTATTTAGGACAGTCCTGAATTAATATAGTCTATTTCAAGGTACATTTGCAAAAAGCGCATTTTATTCAAACTCCCCTTTACTTTCTAATATTAGCTTATCTTCATGTTACTGAGCAAATTAGTTAGCATGTACTTTTAGTTCATATTATGCCAGCATAGAATGGCATGACACGATATTGGCAATTTTTCACCCCCCAGTTACTTAAGTGGTTTTGTGCACAGAGTCAAGCATTCCTACAGTTTTAGTGACATCCATTTTGTTGTTGCGGTTGTTAAAAAGAATATAAATTTATTGTCAGAGATACAGCTGTTGGTCTTGCCTCTTGCTCTGACTAATTGCTGGGCCTTTTAGAACTGGGGAAAAAAGTATAACATTAGCCAAATACTCTGTGCTGAAATAATTAGAAATACAGACCAAGCCTAAAGCTTCCCCACTTTTCTTATATCATGGTACACCTAAAACATTACCATGTTTGTTGAGTACCCTGAGGTTTACAGATAAAGTTGCTCCAGGTTGGAAGCAATAGGCCTGGGAATTTTTATTGACTCAGGCCCTACCCAGCAGCCCTTTTGAACTAAAAAGATTAACATCTTGGCACAACTGTAGTCCACTGCTGTACCAGTTGGGAAGCTCTGCCCAAATGACCTGTAAGTCATATTTATAATGAAGATCTAGTTTTATTTTTTATCTTTGAGGAAATATTCAAGTGCCAGCATCAAATAATAGGATAAGGAAATTTTTGTCAAAGCATCATAGACACCACACCATTTGGCAAGTGGGAGTTGTAGAGTCTCAAATGTAGTTTTCTTGCCTCATGGCTGGGAGTAAATTGAATGACCTTTTGAGATTTTTTCAGGCCTGAGATTTCATATCTTATCAAACAGGCATTTAATTTTCAGTTCTAGCACTATGATACCTTATAGAACTCCCTAGGGTTCTCCAGAATATGGTTTAGAAAAATCATTGCTTTGGCTGATAATAAAGTGTTAAGATACCTACATTGTACTCCTTTTCAGTCAAATGTGATTTCTCATAAGAGAAGAAATAACTATGATTTATCATAGCAAGCCATCTATATGGACTAATTAGTTCTGGTATGTCTCCTGTGCAGTTTGACTTTTCTTATCTTAAAAAACCCAAGTGGGACATTTGTTGTAGATGCCCTTCTATTCAGTAGAATGGATTGGTTTGCTTTTTTGTCACTGGTGAGTAATACTGAGTTGCTAGATGCCAGGGCAGGCTGGTTGGTTGTTTTACGCCTTACCCTGGGAGCCAACTCCTAAATTATATACTGTGGCTTCTGAAGGGACGTAGGGAAGAAAAGGTAGATGGATCAATCTGAATTGCTATTGAGGTCTGGAAAAAAAATTCAAAGCATATTTTCTGCAATGTCATTTTTGCATTTGAAGAATATCATATTTTGAGAGGAGTGGGACAGTATAATGAAGGAGACTTTTCTGCTAGATTTACCTGGTATTATAGACGTAGGCTACCAGGTGGAAGAAAGGGTTATAGAGGTATACCAGTTGCAGAACTGACATGAATACTTAAGTTTTATTTATGTTCTTGAGAATGTTAAGTATTTCTTCCTTTTAAGGATGTAGAATGTTATAATTTCTCCTACCATGTTCTATGTTTCACCTCTGATGTTTTCTCATCTAGGTGATAAAATGTCTTTTCTTTTCATTTTACCCTATATAGTCGGTATTCACTAGAATGGCAGTTATGAAAGCTTTGAATAAGATAAAAGAAGAGGATTTCTGCAAGTAAGTAGAAGTGTAGAAACAAGGAAGCATCATGGGATTTTAGAATAAAGGGAATGTTTGAGATAAACTGGATTGTCTCTAAGACAAGACTTGGTATATTTCAGGGACCAGGATTGTGTCTTAGTCATTGTTATATCCCCAATCCCTGGCACAGTACCTGGCATGTAGCGGTGTTCAATAAATGTTTGTCAAATTAATATTTGAATTTATGAATCAAGTCCAACTTCTTTGTCTTTTATAAGAGGATATTGATGTTTAAAGAGGGATTTGACTTATCTAAGATTTCAACTAGATAATAGAGAGTGGACCTCAAGCCAGATTTCCTGATGCCCCAGCCCAGTGCTATTCCCATTACATCTCTAATCCTGTGTTTCCTAGTATTGTCCATCTCCAGAAGAGGGAGAAGGCAGCTCTTGAGTTTCTTCACTTGTTCAAATATGCTGAAAATACAATAAATCTTATATTTTTTCCTCACTGCATTCATTTTATTAAATAAAATATTGTAGTTATCCTTCCAGAAGATCCTTGAATAAATTTCAAACAATGATGTCGTAAGGAGGGTTTCATATATTTTAACGACTAA